CTTTCCTTTCCTTTCCTTTCCTTTCCTTTCCTTTCCTTTCCTTTCCTTTCCTTTCCACACCTTTCCTTTCCACACCTTTCCACACCTTTCCACACCTTTCCTTTCTTTTCCCCTCCTCGAGTCTCCTCTCTCCTCCCCTAGCCTTTCCCTTTTCCCTTTTCCCTTTCCCCTTCCCCTTCCCTTCCCCTTCCCCTTCCCCTTCCCCTTCCCTTTCCCTTTCCCTTTCCCCTTCCCTTTCCCCTTCCTCTTTTTTTTCCTCTTCCTTTTCTTTTTCTTTTCTTATATATATATTTTTTTTAATGTTTATTCCCTTTTTGTCTGCAGTTTGTTGGCCAGTTCAGCAACATCCTTATCCAGGTTGATTTAAGTGAGATCCTACTTTTCCAGGGTGCATTTTGCAGCTTCTTTCAGTCTGGCTGCACTTTTCAGCTCAGTGCTAGCCCAAGGCAGTTCTGCCTGGGTGCCCTGGGCATCTCCCCTTCTGCTTTTTAATGTTGTGGAGTCAACTCAGGGAACAGCCAACCCTTCTGCAGAGCACAGAGTGAACTGCTTGTTCCCTCTTGTCCAGGGATATCCATCACTCATGGAGTGCTGTGTGCATGAAGCAATTTGTCAGGGAATTATGGATTTTTAAAGTTCATGTTTTTCTGGCGGGCACTGCTCCGTTCCGGTGTCATTGCAGCACATTTAATTCAATAACAGGAATTGTAATGATGCACCTGAAACGCAGCAAAGATTTACCTTCAGCAAGCCCCTCCTGCTGAACAGAGCTGCTGCATTTCTGATGAATCTTCTAAGTGCCACTTCCTGCTTTATAAAGAATGCTTTTGGTTATTAGTTTTTATTATCTGGGACATCAAGGCATTGTGGCAAGGCAAAGGTGTGTGCAAAGCCAGATGTGTTAACAATAGCAGGAGAGAGACAAAGCCCAAAGTGCCATTTACCATGCAGAGGGGATTGATATAAAAAATATTATAATGTTTATTATATTTTTATTATTATTATATTGATATATAAATATATAAATATACTAATATTGATATAATATAATAGTATATTTTATTATAATATTTATATATAATATATATAATATTGATATTAAAAAAGGTGAAGGATGAGTGGGAGAGGAAAGCACTTTGTCTTGTGTTTAATGAGAAATGGGGCTACATTTAATGCCATTGATTTTTGTCTTCTTCCAAGGAGCTGGGAGTGATGCTTAATTTTCCAGCTACTCTGCAGAGAAGGGGAGGAGGAAAACACCGTTTGAGTATTGGGATTTTTCAGAATTCATGGGAGTCAAATCGGTTGGGAACTTCCACTAGAGGGAGCGTTTGAATGTGTGTTTGAATGTGGGGATTGGGATCTTGGAGGGTATTTCAGGCTGAGCTGCTCCCTCGGGTTTTGGGTTGGTGGTGGAAGAGTTTGGGGTCTTTTAGGTGGTGTCTGTAATTGAATTTGTGCATCCCCCTTGCCTTGGGGAGCACCATGTTGAGGGCTGATGTGCCAGACTCAACAGGTTGTTCATTATTTCTCTGGGAGGATGAGGATGAGGGCAGGAATAGTGGGATGGAGACGGTGAGACCTTCATCCCTGCACACAGGAGCAGCCTGGTGTGGGGGATGTGTAAATCTGGGGACATCCTAACCTCATGTGTATCTCAGCAAGCTTCTGCTCTCCTCTTTTGACTGGCTTTTCCCTCTGTGAGGATCAAAGGATTCATCCAATTTCTCATTCAAGCTGCACACCAGGGCTGATAGGCATCAGCCTCGTTATGTAATATTGGGTGATTTGGGTTGTAAATGGCTTGGAACATCAGCAGAGACTTGAAAGTTCCCTTGTGCAGCAAAAAGGGCTGTGCAGGACCATCAGCCACTCAGGGAATGTGTGTAACCATGGCCATGCCCACTTGCTGAACAGCCACAGATCAGGGAGAGTCTGCTGAGATGGAGGGGAAACTGTAGGATTTAACATTTAACACTTGTGTGTGAGAGGAGGAAGGAGAACATTTCCAGTCTTGCACTTGTGCCTGGTTACAGCTGCTTTCCACGCCACAGAAACTGGGGGTTAGGATTTAGGGGAATAAAAAAGCCACTCTGGAAATACACCTGTGGGTGATGGGGTTTGATTTGCCCTGTCCAGTTCTCTCCTCACCTTGGAGCTGAGGACTCTGCTGTGGTTTTGCCTTTGTCTCATGTCCTTATAGAACTGAAGCATCTTCCTGCAGTCAGTAGTTCTCCAGGAAAAACAGGAAAATGGTGCCATTTTATTTTTTAGGTTTTTAAGAAAAGCAAAACAGAGCTGTTGCTTCCCAACCTTCTCTCCCCTAAGGGCTGTGGGGAGCTGCTAACACCACCTCTTTTGCTTTTTCTCTTTTTCTCTCTCCTTGTTTCAGAAAGTCTGCACCAAGTGTGGGATAGAAACTGTTGGAGCCCAGAAACGCCCTCTGTGGTTGTGCAAGATCTGCAGTGAGCAGAGAGAGGTAAAACACAGCTGTGGGGAGATGGGGCTCAGCAGCATCCACCTGCCCACCCCAAACCTGTGCAGAGCATGTGAGGGCTCTTCCCTGTGCCTTGGAAGGCAAAAAATGGGATTTGGGAAGCTCAAACACACCCAGTGGTGTCAACTTTGTTTTATTGAAGGAGTGAAGGAGAAAAACCACACCTGGCTTTGTGGGATTTTTCTAGCTCTGGCCATAACAGGATTGTTCCCTTACACCCTTTCCCTCCTCACTCTGTGGCAAATAAACTTGGCTGGTTTTTTAATACACCTTGAGAGATGTAGAGCATAACTGCAATATTTGTCCCACTAAAAATAACTAGGATTGCGGCCTTTAAATCTGTTTTGCTCCCTGCCTGCAAAATCCCATAACTTTCCAGTGTGTGAGACTTCTAATGCAGGTCTCTAAATTTTTATATCCTTCATCCTTGACTTTACACTGCAAAAGAAAAAAAAAGTAATGGGCTGCCTCAGTGTTTGTCTGCCAGCCAGCATCCACCAACATCAGGGCTCGCTGCTCTGTGCTGAAGTGAAGTCTGTGAATTTGTTCTGTGCTTACAGATGGATTTTCACTTGTTCCCATCAATTTATCTTGGGCTTTGGCTTGAGCATCAATCCAATCCAGCTATTTCTGACCAGAGCACCCAACTGTGTAACCTGGGTGCTCTGCTAAATCAATTTTTGAAGTGCAATGAGAGTGTTTGTGCAGGTGTTGGAGGTGCTGATTTATTTATTCCTTTTTTAATTAGTTGTGTAAACTTTGCATTGCTTAGGTTTTACATTGGAGGGATTTTTTTGTGTGGGAGCACCCACAAAGTCCATGTTCAGGTAAAATGAGGGATGCTGCTGGTCTTTAAATTATCAGCAGTGTGGGCAGGGCAGGAAGAGAGCATTCCAGCTCCCTGGATTTTGATAACAATTTGATACACTGAATCATCCAGATGTTTTGAATTCCAGATAGAGATCCCAAAATAGAGAGCGAGGCAGGTGCAGATATTCTCTGTGCTCTGCGGGGAAATGCAGGGACTAAAATTTCCTTTCTTTCTTTTATTCTGTTGGGGTTTTTTAATATCTCTGTACCACTGTGGGTTTTTTTCCTGTTTCTTAAAAAATAATAAGTAACCTGGTCACTGAACAGAGAATATTAATGTGTCCAGCAGGTGTTATGTATGGCCAGAGGGTGAGGGTGTGATAACTATCAGCACTCACTCTGTGAGTCCTGAGATACAGCCAAAGTGCATCCCTGATGGAAATGGATGGACCTCTCCTTCTTAGACTAAATTATAGCCTCAGCTTGCCTCTCAATCCTTAACTTCTGCTTTATTTTTCAATTCCCTTTGAGGTGGGTTCAAATCTGTCTCCTTTCTTATTTATGCTGCTGCTGGTGCCCTGATCAGGAGAAGGTTGGAAAGGTCACAGTGTGGGCTCACAGACATTAAATCATACATCCCCTCTGTCTTCCCACATGCCCTGCCTTTATTTTTGGGGGATTTGGGAACTGAGAATTAGCAGGGCATGTCAGCCAGGGCAAGGAAGTTGAGGCAAATCAGAATAAACGTGGCCCCACCAGGACCTCGGGATGGTGGGGTTGGACATTGCCATGCACCAGCTAACATCTGCAGCGTGTGGCATTGTGCTCCTGCTCCCATCCCTCCCTTTCCCATGTTATTATTTATCCCTACAAGGCTGGAATTCAGCCAGCACAGGTTCAGTGACACGTGGTACCCATCTCCCCCTTTTGGTGCTGGCCTAGGTTGTGATTAAATAATCAGCCAGCCTGGGTCAAAACAAACACCAAAGCAACAAGCTGTGCCTTACATGGGTTCTCCAGCCGGAGTCGAGTGCTTGGTGCCCGCAGATCCCTCTGGGAATCCCAGCCTCAGCCACTCTGCTGCTTGCTGTTTCCTTGAAAACCTGCTCTGGGAGGCTGTGCTGCATAGCGATGAGGAACGAGTTGCTCTGACACCGGCTTATTTCTGGAGAGTGGAGGCGATGAATGGGCTCTGCCTGCTGTTTCCCAGGATTCTGCCTGCATCCCAGGCATCCCAAACACAGCGGCGTGCTCGGCAGCAGGGGATGTGCAGAGTGAGGGGATGTGTGTGCTGGCAGAGCCTGGATGTTCCTGCTGGCAAAGGGAACACCCCCAGGGACCCACAGGCACCCCCAGTGCATCCTGAAATAAAACAGAGCTCACCTGCAGCACTCCAGAGGCATTTGTCCCAGCTGTTTCCAGAGGGAGCTGTGGAAAAGCCTCCTTTGTTCTTCCAGGATTCCGTGGGTGTTTTCCTTTGCAATGATGTGTTTGCATGGCAGTGGAACTGAGGATGATGTGGATTGTGGTTTGGTGTTCCTGCAAGCAAGGGCAGAAGCAAATTCAGCCACACTCACATTCGCTTTTGAGGGCAAGAATCTGCCTCCCTCCTTCCCTCCTTCCCTGCTCCTTGTGCCTTTCTTGGCTTTGATCTTGCTTCACCTTTGTGCAGACAGAGTGAGGAGGGCTGATGCCCCTGGCTGATGCCCCTGGCTCAGTCCTGCTCCTGCGTGGATCCCGTGGGGAGCTCAGGGATGCTGACCCCTGACTGCAGCCAGCGCTGCCTCTGGGTTTGCAGAGAAACTCCCCGGGGAAAGAGGTTCTGGGGCAGAAAGGGAGCAGCTCCTGCAGTGCCAAGGGCTGGTTGCAGCAGCTGTCAGAGCAGCAGAACCTGCCTGGCAGCAGAGCTGGTGGCTAAAAACACAGCTGGAACGACTCCCTGCTGCCAGGCCAGTTCAAGCAGCAGTGCCCATGCTGAATTAGCTGTGCCTGGCCAAAACCTGCCTGTCACCTCCTCACCTGAAGGGGAAAAGGGACCTGCTGGGTTTTGTCAAATCCCTGCCCAGCCCTTTAGGTCTCTGCACAGCCTTATTTTGACTGATAGCACCAGATTCTGCAGAGCACCTCCCTGAATTTCCCCTTTATATATGTTTTTTATATATATATATCCATAATTAGCGATGCTATCATTGTAATTAAAATCCTCTTGGAAGCATTTGTGCACATTTACATTTGAATTGACACATCCAGAATTGTAGGGATAATGAAAGCAGTTCCCCTGGGGTGGGGAGAGACAGTTGTTTTTTTTTTTAAACTCCCTCAAATATGAAAGAGAGTGTCAGCTACCAGGGACCTGTTAAAAGTTTTAATTTTCCCCCTCTGCTTCACTTTCCTTTTCATTCCTTCTCCTTCATTACACAGCATTTTCAAGGCTGGCTGCATTTCTCAGTTTATCACAATAAACCACACAAAGATTTTTGCACTGGAAGAGTGGGGTCGTCTCCTCCCCTTTTGCCCCCGGTGCTTCCCTTTTCACATATCCACTCCTACCACTTGGAACACTGTAAAGCAACACAACTTGGGGTTATTCCTGCCTGGCATGACGATTTCCTGGCAAAACACCCCAGGGATGGAGAGGGGTGTTTATTTTGAGTGACTCTGGATTGAATCGGAGTGATGTGCACCTGTTTGCAATTGAAAGAACTCATCAATAGCCTCTGCCATATTATTTTGGGGGTGGCAGCGAGTAGTTAGACTCAAAATAGTGTCCTCTAGAATAGAGCCATGGGTGGAAAAAAAAAGAGGGCTGATTGAAAGGGGGATGATAAATAGTTGAAGGCTGGCAGCCACCGCAGCTTGAGAAACGTCGGGGTCAGGGGGGAGAGAGATTTTGCTATTCCGGAAACAAAGCTCCGAATGGTAATTTCACTGCCTTTTAATTTCCTTCATCCTCAAGTGCCGAATGTGGGAGTTGACAACAGATTGCTGTAAATAATGTAATTGGAAATCTCTGTGTTATGGAAAGGCAGATGAATGCAAATAACGAGGGTGAGGAGCGCTCGCTCTCTCCGCGCTGCCAGCGGCGTTTGCGGGGTGCCAGGGCTGCAGAGCTGGGACAAAGTGGCTGTGTGGGAATGTGCTGCAAGCAAGGGGTGCCAGCGAGGTCCTCCCGGGGTGGCTGCAGCTGCAGGTGTCTTTTTCTTTGCTGTAGCCTACAGGGAGCTGCTTTACCTTTTGGTATTGCTGGTGTCAGCATGGGAAGCTGAAAGGGGTGGTTTTCCTCTCACCAAGCCCAGATTGCTCTGAAGGAAAGGGCTGAGGGATGGGAACAGATGGCACAAGCAGGAGGTGGCAGAGCAAAATGTGGCTTTGCAGCAAAGATCTTTCCTAAGCATCTCTGTTTAAGGGATGTTTGGTGAGGAAGACCCTGGGGAGGCTGGGACTCGTTGTTATGCTTCCCTCAGTTGTGATCCACGTCTTTATCAGCAAGGCCTCATGTTTTCCCGTTCAGGAGCTTGTTTTAGCACTTGTACACTCAGGGAAGTTTGAGCAGCAGTGTGAGTCTCACCAGGGCCCAGTGATTCTCTGTTAGGTCCCATTTCCAGGCTCGATAAAATCCCCATCTGCTTCTGCATGTGTCACTCCATAGCTGCAATGATGGCTTGATGCAACTTTAATGGGAATATTAGCAGGGTTAGAAAAGGCATTTATCTGTCATGGCCACGGCTGTCCCTCTCCCTGGTGACATTCCAGCTCCTACCCAAGCTCAGACTGCCGTGGGGAACAAATTTCACCTTAATGTGAACTGGTGGGAGTAACATCCTCCCTTCCTGTAAACTCCTGCTAATAAACAGGAATCTCATTCTCCAGGCTCTGCTACAGATGTATTAATTTAAAATCAAGCAAAAGCTTTGCTGTCAGGCCACTCTGGCCATCAATCAAATGCCATCAATAGCAGTCAGCAACATTGACCAGTTTTGATCCAAGGATGCTCCCACTGCCCCAGAGTAGGATGTGATCCATGGTCCTTTGGGATGGGCTGTGCTGCAGACCTGGAGGAGCAGAGGACTGAATCCATCCAGGGGAGAGCATCTTGCTGCAGCTATTTTAGAGCTGATTTCAAAACAATTTCACTGCTGCCATAATAGGACCAAACTCTATTAGAAGCACCAATTTAAAGGGAATATATATGCAGAGAATCCGTTTTATATTAGTATTACCACATCAGAGCTGGGTGTGTTATGTCATTAACTCTTTCTGTAACGACTTGCTTTGGGGTAGTGAGAAACCTGGGGGTGCCCAGCCTTTGTTCCAGCCATCCATGCTGTGTCTGATTGGTTTTATGGTGTGTCTAAATTGGAGCTCGCCTGAAGATAATAGGTCTCTCCAGTACTTCAAATTAAATTACAGATGTTGCAAGGTCTGTTCAGAGAGTGGCTGTACCAGAGGGCTGTTTCCTCCCCAGCAGTTTATCCAGGGAAGGTGTGTGTGCACCAGAACCCCAGTGTGTGTCAGGGATGGGCAGTTTCCAGCCCTGTCCCTGTTCTCCTGCTGATCCCTGTGGGTGCAGCTGCTCCCAAAACCTCCAGCCTTCCTCAGGGAGACCTGGGCTTGGCCAGCCTGCAGCTCCTGCATGGGCCATGTGTGCCTGAGCTGCAGAGGGGCTGAGCTCTGTGCAGAGGTGTCTGTCCCACACTTCAAATATCTGCAGCATTTCAAAAATCTGGTCCCAATTCTCGGAGAGCAGAGCCTGTTCCTGCAGGGTCGCTGTGCTGCACTGCCATGTGCTGTTTGACACGCTGTGCCAACTGCTGTGCGGTCCCCACGTGCCAGCAGAAGGGACAGAAGGAGCTGTGTCAGCCTGTGCCTTGGCTGCCTGGGTCACTCTGGCTCCTGGCACAGCGGAGAAGGAGCTGCTGAGATGTCCTGCCTGCCAAAACCCCCTCTGCAGAAGAACAACTTGCTGTCTTGGGAAATTGGCTTCCCAGCTTTATTGCCTGGGTGGCAGACTCAGCCTCCTGCTGGGTGGTGCACGTTGTGGAGCTGTAGGATGCTCTCACCTCCTGCTTTGCTGATCCTGCTGCGATGCACGAGCCTCCCCCTTGCACATGTGCTGGGTCACAGCAGTGCTCTGCTTTCTTCTGCTGAGTGCTCTTTTGTTTAAAAAAAACACATTACCGGGTCCCCCTCTGAATTCAGATCACCCAAACTTGGCTTTCAGGAGCTCAGACACAGAGATCTGAGCTCTCTCTGTTGGTGGCTCTGGGCTGGGAACCATCAGTGCAATGGTGCTGCTGGTGTCCTGCTTTTGGAGAGCAGCTCCTGAGTGTCAGGGGTTGCTGCTGCCCTCTGCTTTGATTAGGCTCTAAAGGCAAATTGCAAATGTATTGCTGCAATTAGGGATATCTGCATCTGCACCCACTGCCATCGTGATGAAACTGTGTGAAAAATGCTTTGGGAACCTGGAGTGGAAACACTGATGGTTTCCTCCACTCTGAGCAGAAGCACAAGAAGTAAAAAATGATATTTTTACTATATTAACTTATTTTTGCCCGGTGTCTTTAGCTCATTATCAGGCTGCTGGAAGGCACACAGGAATTAGGTTTGTAAGAGGCCATTTCTCCTTGTCTGAGCTGCCACCCCTCTCCCTTCCCCTGGCTTACAGCAGGCTTTATATTAAATATACTTAATAGAGTGCCTTCATCATAAGCTGCATTAAAGCTAAATTGGAGAGGAGAGGCTGTTCTTACAGCAGATATTACAGTTTAGTGCTCGAGGTCCATTTCCTGCTGCAGGTTCTGGTTATTTGTTCTTGTTCTGGGGTTTTCAAGCTCGTTACACGATCTGGCTTGGCCTGAATTGCTCTGTGAGATGAGCACTGAGGCAGCACTTCTGCCATCACCTTCTGCTCCTCCTTCAATCTGTACCTGCTGCTTCTTCACAGCTGGGATTTTTTAGTTGTGGAAGGAGGACAGAGATGAATCTGAGCTGACAAGGACTAGGGAGGAATTTGGGATGGGAGGGAACGGCTGGGCCGAGCTTGGCGGGGAGCTCATTTTGCAGCGGCTGTGCTCTCTTGCTGTAAAAACCCAGCTGAAGGTGTCCTGACTGTGTCTCTGGCAGGTCTGGAAGAGGTCTGGAGCGTGGTTCTACAAAGGGCTGCCCAAGTACATCGTGCCTTTGAAGAGCAGCAGCAGCAGCAAACCCCTGGAGCTGCAGCCCCAGCCCTGGCAGGGCGAGGCGGCCGTGCTGGAGCCGGAGAGCGTCGGGAGCAGCCGCTCCTTCACCTGGGCCAGGGGAAGAGGTTGGTTGTCCCACCCAGGAACCAGGTGGGAGAAGGACCTGGCTTCTCCCATTGCTGGCAGGATCCCAACAATCAGGGGAAGTTCTCTGTTAGAGGTGTTACCCCGCAAGGTGTGGTGTGTTTCTCACGCGGAGGTTGGAGGTTTACGGTGGTTTTGTGAGGATTCACTGATATTTCAGTGCACATTGGTGGCCCAAATTAGTCCCAGTCCTCCTGGACTGCCCATCCTTCAGTCCCTGCTTTCCTCCATTGCTTGCAGACCTCACCCCCACTGTTTTTCTGGGATGAACATGGAGCAGACACTTGCCTTCAGTCACAGCCTGAAGAGCTGTTCCTGCTCTTCCAGGGATTTCTCCAGGGATTGTGCCACTGGTGGACATCGCTGTGCAGCCAAGGCTGGCCCAAGGCTGGTCTCACTCCCTCCCTCCTTGGGGCTATTGCTCCTTATTTCTGCTGCTCTCACTTCACTGTGAGCTGAGTTAGAAAGTGCTCTGCCAGCATGCAAGTGCTGCAGAATCAGAGCTACTGCCAGTCTGCTTGGATTTCCTTTCCCTCTGTGTGGGTTAGCAGAACTGTCTGGCCTCTCCCCTTCTGGTTTTTGCTGTTAGATTCCCTCAGCTGGAGAAGACCTCTCAAATGAACCAGTTGCATGCACTCTTCTACTTACCAGATGTGCAGGGGGAAATCATCTTTTAATAAAGAAACCTCAGGAGACTTGGGTTTACAAACCTTCTCTTCAGGGCCCAGCTAAGAAAGCACTCCCAGCCCTACTCTAACTTTCGTAATTAAAGACAAATTAGATCAACAATAGATGGTTGTGTTTCCCTCCAGGAGATGCTTGGAAGGAGTTGTCTTAGCAGAGGGACTGATTGATGAGGTTGTTTTTTGTTCACATGATAGAGAAAACATTAAGAGTTGGAGCTGTTGAGGCCAGACCTGGCCTGCTGCTTAGTTCAGCTTTTCAGCTGAGTTCTCTTTTTTTGGAGAAGGCTTCCCCATAAATACAGGCAGGAGCAGCAAAGGAGCAGGGGGAGGACAGCAAAGTGACCTTTGGTAAGCTTTGATGTGGGTGGTGAGCTGCCTTTGTCCCTGCCCTCTGATGTTTGTCAGGCTGCTGTTTTATGGGTTGGGTAATATGAATTTATGGCTTTATTTTCCGGTGCTTTCTTTCCCTGTTGCCCTTCTCTGTGAGGCTGCCTGTCCTCTGGACAGCTTTCAGTGGGCACTGAGGGCTGTAATTCATCTCTGCAGCTGGGAGCTTGTGCATCTTCCCCCTCCTTTTACCTCTTTTGAAGGTGCCAGTGCCGTTTGTCACCCCCCAGCTCTGCCGTGTGCAGGGCAGGCTCCTTCCCCTGTGGAGATGATATTGCCACTGTGAATCTGCAGCTGGAGCTGAGCTGAGCTCTCCAAGGCAGCCTGGTTCCCCCTGTCTGGCTGGCACCATTTGTCAGCTCACACCTTGTACATCCTCACGCAGACACGTCCTTGCAGCTCCGAGCAGAGCGCCGGTGCTGGTTTGGCAGGATGTTCCTGGGAATGAGCTCTGGCACTGAACATCCCTGGCTCTGACAGGCTGCTCTCCATGGGCTTTTCCAGCCCTCTCCAGCCCCTCTGCTCAGCTCTGATGTGCTTGTGAAAAAAACAGGTTCACATATTTTTTTATAGAATTTAAAAGTGTAATAAAAAGACAATTAGGAGGTAAAAATAAAGTATACAGATACAGCTGGGTGTCTCTGCATCCAGCCAAGAGAGCACACCTCACTAACAAAGGATTGGGCCTTAAAAACAGAATCCTACTACATATCCATAAATTCTCATACATATTCAGACATTCTTCTTAGGATTTTTGGTGTTCCTCTGTTTAGTTTTTTCCTTGCCCCCTTCCCAATAAATCTATCTTCTTGGCTTCACCGAGTTTCACATTCCCTGATAACAGAAACGCAATAAATTCCTCCCCCAGAGCTCTGGTCACTGCTGTCCTCATCTGGACAAGATAATCCAAGAATGGAGGGGGGTCTCTAACTATCTTTTTCAGTCTTTGGGTTATATAAACAAAAGTAGTTTTTGTTTTAATACTATGCCATTGCTCAACATATTTGTATATTATACCACTATTTCTAAGTTTCATCAGTAACAGAAACAGAAGGAACTATATTGATATAACCAAGTTTTCTGACCTTTATACACATAACATTCCTTTTAATATTTGCAAAAAGCCAACAATATAATATGTGTCTATAACATGCTGAAGGAACCATCTCTGAGCTCTCTGGGGATTCAGGTCAGGTGTGGCCAGCACAGTCCCTGGGCATCCTCCACACCAGGAGCTGAGATGGGACAAACCTTGAATTTCCCTTTTTCCCCCTCAAAAGCAGAGGATCAGTGTCAGAACCTGGGCATTTGCTCCCACTGCAGGAGGGTGGAAGGCAGCAGGACCAAGGGAGGGTGGGAATGTGCCTCAAGGAAGAAAAGCCAACTCCACCAGACAGAAGTTTTATTTTTGCACACTCGGTATTTCTCCTGTGCTCGCTGACACTGGGATTTGCTGGTGCCTTTAGTTTTTCTGTTATAAACAAGCAGTTGCCATGGGAACCCTGCTATTAGTTAAGGCACAAATGTATTGTCAGGAGGAGAATAGCAGCAATATTTCTTTTGCTGGGCAGCAGCTCTGCTCCATGTGCTGGAATGTGTGTGGGATTCTGCGCTGGGTCAGGGGGTGGGAGCAAGAGCAGCAGGGCTTTCCTTCTTCCAAGATATGAGTTCTGCAGGAAAAACGTGGAAAACAGCTGGGTGGAAAATAGAAGTGTGATCCCTGAGCTGCTGCACTGTTTGGCAGGAGGGCTGCCTGCTGCTGTGCTCGAGGGGGGATTTTCCTGGGGGAAAATCTGGGGGATTTTCCTGTTCCATCCGTGTTGCCAAGCAGTGGGATGTGCCAGAGGCATGGGAGCAGCAGCTGGGCAGGGGGATGCAGTGGGTTTGTCCTGTGTCTGTGAGCTGGAGGCCAAATCCCTGAGGGATGGGGCAGAGGGGGATGTGCTGGGGAAGGTGAAGAACTCTGCAGGCCACCAAAGGGGACACTGAACTCGCCAGCTTTGCAGTGACAAAGCTGCAACTTGTGCTGCTCCTGAAAAGGACAAGGGTTGGGTCCAGTCACCTCTTCCTTCTTGGAGCACCCCTGGGTGTGATCTGGCACAGGAGCTGTCCTCAGTGGGACCCTGGGCTGGAATAATCCTCATCTTCTCTCCCTTTCCCACCTGCAGTGACCAGGAGCTGTTCCACCCTCTGCTCCCCATGTTTACCAAAAATCTGGGTGCTGCAGGGCAGCCCTGCTCAGGGATTGTGCTCATCCTGGGGTTGTGTTGGAGCTGTGATTCCCACGTGCTTTTGCTGTGTTTTTGACAGCTGCAGGATGTGCCAAGCTCTGTGTGTGCCAGGCTGGGCCCTGCCCTGCGCTGGCAGCGCCAGGGAGCTCGGATGGCTCTTCCTGTGCCAGAAACACACATTTAATAACAGATCCCAGCCCCAGCCAAGTGTTCCTTCCCCTTGGCCTCAGCACAGCCTCCTCACGTCCTGATTTGCCTCTGGGGATAAGTGCAGCCAGTTGTGTTTCACCATTCCCCGTGGATCTCTGATGCCCCTGGCTTGGGGTTGAACCTCGTGTGGAGGGACCCTGGGCTCTGCCAGCAGCTGCAGGGCTCCAGGCTCTCAGTGAGTGACCCATTCCCTGGGGAAATACTGCTTTTCTAGCAAGTTTTATCTCGACAGATTTTATTTTATGAGCTTTTTTTTTTTCCAGTCAGCTGGAGATAGGGATAAATCTGTTCCGTTCTCTGGAAGAACAGCTGCCCAACGACTCTTATTGATATATCAGCAACTGCTGGAACACCAGATTTAATACTTCTGGGCTCTGGAAAGGTCTGGGAGCTTTGGATGAAGGATTACCTGAAAGGGAGACTTTGGTGCAGTGAGTAAAATACACTCTCATTGGCAGCAGAGGAAATGAGAGCAGACAGGGCTGGTCCTGTGGTGCGAGTGCCTTCGAGTCATTAATATTTTCCCTCTCTTGTGCTGGTTCTCTCTGAGCTGCTGAATGGCAGGAGGACAGGCAGCTAAAGTCACCTCCACTGATTCACTGGGGCCTTCTCCAAATAAATCCTGTCTCCCAGCATTTTCAGAGGATTCATGGAGGAAGGAGCTGTTCTAAAGCAATGGATTTTATGAATCCAGGAGAGCAAAAAGAACAAAAACCAAAAAAACCAGATGATGACCAAGTGGAACAGGACTTCATTTTCTGAGAGAATTGAGCAATAAGATGGTCAGAATGAATCTTACAGCTGAGATTTGGACAGTATAGGGAAAAAAACCACTCTGGTGTGTATGGATTGTTTTTAACAGTGTTATGTACAAGTCCCCACCTCTCCCAGGGAGCTGTGGGGTAGTAATGAAGATGTATTTTAGACAAACTTTTGCTTTGAGGACTCTTAGCCAGCACTGCAGCTCCCCAGCTTGTATAGGGGCCTTTTTCCCTTCCCCAGCCCCTTTCCCTGCAGGGAAAGGCTGTGCAGGGTGTGTGTGAGGAGCTGCCTGCCAGGGCAACTTCAATAATGCCTTGCAATAACACTGGCAGCCAACTTTAATATCTTCAGGGATGTTAGCATTACTTTAGGTATTCACTTCTCCTTTTTTTAAATGAAATATTTTGTGTAGTACAGATTGCTGCCTTGAATAGAGGAGTTGCTGCAGAGGTGCTTGGCAGGAATATTTGACAGCTCCTGCTCTGTGCAAGGGGAAAGATTCCCAAGCTCCTGCCCTGGGGAGTGCTGAAGGGTTTGGGCTGACACAGAGAGGTGAAGTGACAGCTCTGTGTTACCCTGTGGTTGTCACCACGTCCCTCTCTGGGGCTGGGCACTGTGAGTAACACGGCGTGGGGGCAGCGTGGTTTGTTCAGAGAAAATCACTTCTCACAGGGATGTGAGCTTCTAGAGATGTCCTGATGGATCTAAAAAAATAATCATCAGGGCTTCCTCTTCCTGCAGGAGAGGCTGTAGGTTGCAGTGTTACCTGCTTTACGTCCCTCATGGGCCGATTTTGTACTTTTTACCAGTTGTGACCTGCTGTTTGAAGTGGCTGCTGAGCTGCCAGGAGAGCTGGAATCTGCCTGCTCACATGGAGAAGTGCTCTAGGTGCAATCCCTCAAACAAAAGACAGATTTTTTTCCCATTACCTTCCTTCATCAGCCCCATCATTTCTGTTCTGAGATCAAACCACCACAAAAACCCAGGAATTGGGAAAAACACCTTTCTCGTTTTCCCCAGAGCAGCTGGCAGTCAAGTTATCTTTTACACCAGTATAAGCAGAAGAGGTGTTTGCATAATTGCATGGAAAAGTGGAAAGAACCTGCCAGTTTGGGAAGCTGTGTCTGGCAAAATGAGACTCCTTCAGCTCTTTTGGAAAATATGGGGAGTGGAAAGCTGCAGGAAGAGAGCCAGGATTCAGGGGAAAGAAAACCACAGAGAAAAAAAAAAGCAGCTTTGGAACAGGAGAACAGTCTCTTTGAGGAAAAGGAGTGACCCTTGCCTTTGGAGCTGTGGGGATGCAGGGGTAACACAGTTTGCTGAGGGGGATGATTTGATCTGCTCAGGATTTGTCTGGTGTTTTCCTCTTAGATCCTGGAGGCCCTGCCACACTTGAAATGCAGCTTGGAGGGAAACAACCCCTCTCCCCACAGGATATCAGGAGCACACCTGGTATCTTTGGAACACTCCTTTTATCCCATTCTGCTGTGGGGTTTTAATGCATATTCATATTTTTCCAAGAAGTATTTTGCATGGCTATGCCCTGAATCCGCCTTTTTAGAGCATGAAAGAGATTTTATTTCTCTTTATCATATTTTTATTTGGGCTGGGGTTCCTCCTTCTGCAGGCAGTCAGTGTTGATAGCAGCCTGGGCCACATCATTTATTTCCTGGAGGTTATCTGGCTTTGTACAGACAGGACATTGCCCTAACATCCAAAATTCTTCTTGACCTGTGCCTAAAACTTGCTTAGCAGGAGAAAAAGAAAAAGACACAGCAAAAGCATATAACACATAGCATTCATTTTAATACTTGCGAAAGCAAATACCAAAATATGGATTTATAACAGGAGAGGAGCACTGGTGGTGTCTGCACCTGCTGCAGGTGCTGGCACGGCTGGAGTTTGTGCAGTGCAGTTATAAATCACCTGCAAAAAGCAAAAGCACCTCACACTGGAGAGGAAGAGAGAACAGCTGCAGGGGAACTGCAGGTAGGGTCTCCTCTGGAGAGGGGGAACGTGAGCAGCGAGTCAGCATTTGTTCCTGTTTTATTTGGATCCATCCATCCCATAACACCTCTCTGGGAAGTGTTATGAACATTGTGAATAAATGTGTTTCTCTCCTCCCCCTGATCTCTCCTGCAGTGGTTTCCAGCGACAGCGACTCAGAGCTCAGCTCCTCCAGCCTGGATGACAAACCCATCCCTGTGGGGTCAAAAGGCTCTCAAGAGAGAAAGCTCCAAGCAGGAATGGGTGAGGAGCTGCAGTTCCTTGTGGCTGGAGGGTGGGAAGTGTCAAGTGCTTGAATGTTTGGCTCTTGGCTCGGCTGCTCTCCTCCCTCCTTGGCTGTGGCTGTGCCAGGTGAGGCTCCCAGCTGGGGCAGGTGACTCACCTTGTTCTGGCTGCTGATGCTGAGAGATGCCTTAAAAAAGAGCAAAATCCTCTCTTGTGTTGATTATGACGTTTTTATTAAGGAAGGGGAATATTAAACAGACTGAAACAAATAAATAATCAATAATAACCTCGCTGGGATTTCTCCCTGGGTCATCCCATGGTCTGCAGCATTCCAGGCTCTGCCCTTGCAGCTGGGAGCTGCTCCTGGCAGCCCATCCCTGCCAGCTCCTCACTCCTGGCTTTGCAGCACTGGAATCACTGGTGTTTTCTGGGACACAAGAACCAGGGGTGACCCTGCTCCCGAGGGTTCCTGGCTGGAGCTGGGACGTTCCTGCTCCTTTAGGATCCAGCTCTGTGTCTACAGCAACATCTCTGTTCTGTCCCTGCAGCGCCCACGAGGGGACCCAGCCAGGCTATGAGCAGAGCCCTGGGGGTCCCCCAGTCCCCCCCAGTGTTGGGGAGCCCCAGCAGCCTGGGCAGTGAGCAGGGGGCCGAGCTCAGCCCCACGGAGAGTGGCCACAGTGACCAAGGCTGGGACAGGCGCGACAGTGACGCCGGCACCGGCACCAGCACCCCTGGTAAGCTCTACAGGCACCTCCCTGTGCCTCCATCCCTGCTTTTTGGGGCTGAATTCCCTGGAAGCACAGCTTTCCCTGGGGCACACAGAGCTGTGGCCCTGGGATCTCTTCCCCCCCACGCTTCTTTTTTGTATTGGCAGATGCTGTGACGGTGTCACACCTTCTTCCCTGAATGCAAAACCTTTTCTGCAACATGAGTAATCGTCTGGGGTGGGAGCTGCCTGCACCCACGGCCAGGAGCACTCAGAGCCTGGGGCTGTGACCCTGCAGAGCCCTGGAGCTCCTCTGTGTCCTGCAGAGCCAGCAGAACACGTTGAGCTTCTCCTGAAGCAAAGCAGCCCAGCAGTTTTATGCGACTGAGTAACATTTTTCCTGAAGTAAGGTGGCTCTTAAAGCCAAGCATGGCTCTTCCCAGAACTCTGCAGTGCAGAAGAAAGACACTTTTCCCCCCTGAGAAACCTCAGAACGATGAAGTGACTGGGAAAGCAGAGGCTGCTATCACACCTGAAGCAGCTGAAAGAGATGCAAATGTGTTCTCTCTGCAGTTCCCACTAATTTAGTCACTAACCCCTCAAGTTATCATGCAGCACTGCTCCCTCCTGAGCATTCCTGCCCTCTGAACTGCCTCTCCTGTTGTTCCTGAGCCTGCTTGGTGCTGGGCATGTTAAGGCATAAATTGGATTAGAGAGAGCAGGGTCATTCTTCAGTTCCACATGGAGTCGTGGTCGCCCTCCCCACGCTTCCTGCTAGGAACAGGCAGCACAAAATTGTTCCTCTGCTCTTCCCTCCTTCCCCAGCTTTCAGAGACTTGCAGTTTTCTTTTAGTTTTTAACCAGGTGAAATAAACAAGTGATCCTTCTGCTCTTCTTCCTTCCTCCCCCTGGATTAGAGCCTGCCCTGGACTGGGTGGTTTATTTTAAGCTCCAGTTGTGTGTGGAATTAGAGAGGCTGAATTCCTGTTGTGGGCTGGCTGTGCTGCCTGTGGAGAAGAGCTGCAGGTTGTCCTGTGGGGTTGGAATGGGTGTTGGTGGATAGCAGGTGACCCTTTGGGTGCTGCCTCTGATGGATGGATCCACTCCTGGACAATGTGTTTGTACTCAGCATTTTGGAGCTTCTCTGCCTGCTCTTTGAGCCAAGCTGCTGCCTGGCCATGACACTGCAAACACTATTTCAGAGGCAAAAAAAAGGAAAAGAAAAAAAACCAAAAACCTTTTTCCTGCTAAAAACTCCATATGCAAAGCTTGGCACAAGGGGTCAAACCTTTCCAGTGGGATCTCCCCATGTAGGTGGAGGAGAGCTAAAATGACAGATATTTAAAAAAAAAGGAAAACTGTGGCAGTCTCCTGAGCCCAGTTAAAGCTGGCCTTGAGATGTAGAGAGGATCCTGCTAAGGAAAAGGTTAAGCCAGGTTGGCTGCCTAGGGAGTTTCTGTAAAGATCTTTATTATGTCTGAGGTCATTTATTTCTCAGTGTTCCTGCAGAAGGGGCTGCTTGGTTCAGACAAGAGCCCTGGTACAGGGGCTTTGGTGGCCTCCCAAATCCAGAGGAGGGAGGCAGGAAATCAGCAGTGAGCGCTTCAGTACTGTGGGTGCCCCTCTGCCAACAAACAGAGGCTGCTCTTGCTGTTGATGTATTTAAAGAGTGATGGAGGTGATGGGTGGTGGATGTCAGGGCTGGCAGAACTTTTCCCAGCCTCTCCCTGCCTGTGGGACAGCCCCTGAGCTCTGCCCTGCCCCAAAAGCAGAGCAAGGGATGAAGATCCTTCCTCATTTCCATTGCTGATCCTCAGCTGCAGAACGGGGCTGCTAAAAGATGATTTTCTGTGGTTCCTCTGCAAGGCTCTGCACCTTTAGAACACCGTGTCAGGAGCAATTTTTGCTTCATATTATCACCTCAGGTGTTGTTCCACCGGTGACTTTCTTTGCGCTTCTTTTTCTCACCTCTGCTCCAACTCCGGCTTTGCAAGAGCGCTCCGGCATCCTGAAATCCCAGGCCACCTCCAGAACAGGGAACTGGGGAGTGCTGCTGCAAAATCAGCTGCTCTCCCAGCCTTTCACAGCTCTTTCAGCCCGAAGGCCAAGCCAGCAGCAGGGTGGTGGCCAAGGGAAAACGAGGAGCTATTAAGGAGAGGCTGGAGGTTTCCAGTGCGCTGCTCCAGCTCCGGCTGGGGTTTGCTGAGGCAGATAATGAAGCCTGGAGTTTGTCATAAAATGACTCATTGTCAGAGCTGTGTTGGGATTTAGGCAACCTCAGCCCATGAGCCAAAGTTTCAGAAGAATGGTGAGTTGAGAGGCTGCCAATTTTATTATTTTTTAATTTTTTTTTTTTACCACCTGCTCTCAAAGCCTTTCAAAAGCACCTTTTTCTGAGGGGCTGGTGTTCCTTCTGCTTCTGAAGCTCCAGCTCCTGGAGGTGCCTGCTCTGACGTGATAGCTTTCAAGAGGAAGGTCACACACTCATTTTCCTGAAGAATGTTTTATCCTAAAGAAAATTAAATTTGCACATATAGAAGAAGCACAATCTTCCTTTTCCCTCTTACTTACTCCCAGCTAGGGCAGGTGACTCACCTTGTTCTGGCTGCACAGCTGATGCTGAGAGATGCCTTAAAAAAGAGCAAAATCCTCACTTGTATTGATTATGACGTTTTTATTAAGGGGAATATTAAACAGAATGAAACAAAGAAATAATCAATATCTTACAGTGGTTTTCATTAGCCCAGGGAGAGCTTTTAATGGCAGTAACAAATCTGAGCTTGGGACTGCTGCAGGGGGTAAATTAAGGAGAAGTCATCTCCCCTCAGATCAGCAGCAGGTTCTGCATTGATGGCTGCCAGGTTCTCAGCATCTTCTGAGGGCCTTGTCCCAGGAATGGGTGAGTCCTGTTCCATGAGCAGCTTGCTGCTGGGGAGTGGTGAGCGAGCCTGGCATGGGCTGTGGGGCTGGAGAAAGCTCTGATTGCTGCTGGAGTCAGGTTTGAGAGCCAGCCATGAGAGAGAGTGCAAATCACAGCCTCCCCATCTCTGCCTGGCTGCCAATGTGTTGTCTAAATCATTAATACTTAAAGGCTGGTGCAGCAGCTGGCACTTAAACAGAGCCACGTTAAACAGGGCTGGGAGCTGAGAGAGGGTGGCACTGCCTGGTGAGGGGGGTTAGGAATGTCCTGGTTTGCAATTCCAGAGTGAGACCTGCTGGACAGATCCCCAGATGTCACCAGGCCCAGCCTGAAGCCTTCTCCTGCATCTCCTGGGTACCTCCTTTTAGCTGCTCTGTGCTGGGAGAGGCTGAGCACAACTGAGGGAGATGGACAGGGAATGTTGCTTCCAGCTCTCTTAATTTGGGGAGATTTATGCCCTGTCTTTCAGGAACTGACTGGATTTAGAAATGAGGTGGTGTCTCTGTGGGCTCAGTGCCTCCCTGGCTGGGGTAGGCATCCACTTTTGCTCATAAATATTCAAACTGTTAATACATGAGCCAGGCAGAGCCATTCAGCATTATTTCCATGGCAGGAAATTCTCTGGGCATCTTTGAAGTTAAAGCATTAACTTCTATTTTCCATTCTGCTTCTCAGATGTCTGCTTTGCTCCCTCAGGGACGATGAGGAGGTAACATTTTGCTTCAGTGGGTCTGACTACTCCATTCCACGTTGGAAGGAAAAAAAAAAAAATTGTCCTAACAGTAATTAGGCTCCAAATGTGGTAGTAATTTCTTTAATGACTTGCTTCATGGCAGTCTTTGGGGAGTTGACTTTTGTTTTCCTGTGCTTGGTGAGAAAGTTGCTTGAATGTTTTCAGACTTGTCCCTTGTTCGTGTGAGCCAGTGTGGATTTCCAGGGCTGGTTTTGCAGCAGGATAGAAGAGGTGGAAAATCCCTGCTCTTCCTCCCTCTGCCTGCATTTAGGGCACAGTTTGGGAAGGACAGAGGGATCAGATATGAAAGAAAGACCCTCACCCACACCCAGCCTCTCCCATCCAAGCCTCTGCTTCCTTCACTGGCTGCCTCATCAAATTTTGGGCACTTCTTTTTATCCCCTTTTGCTCAGAGCTTTCTGGGATTGAGTTTTCCTGCTGCCAAATAGGATAAGTTGTCTGTCTTCCCCAAAGTGAAAAAACTGAATTGTGCCTTCATGGCTGAGGAGCTTTGAGCTGTCTCTGCCTCCTCATATCCACAGAGCACCGAGTGGTCCTGCTGTACTTATAAATAAAACATAGCTTTGGGTAGTGGCAATGTTAGGAAATGATTCAAGGTTTGCATTCCAGATACAATGCTTTTGTAAATATGAACCTCTGGAGAAGCCTGTGCCCCCTTCCATGTTTGAGGGAATTAAAATATTTTCATCCTCGAGTGGTAGAAGCAAAACATTTTCAGCTCTTTCAAGCCTGCCTTGAAGTTAAGTGAATAAAGGCTCGAGTAACTAAAAAATAAATTACTTTCACTATTCCTGTAATTCTTTATGGAGTTTTAAATTGAAGGCTTCTTCCTTCAAAATAGAGGGATGACAAAGATTCATTCTCTCGGCTCTTTCACTCAATATATCAGGAAACAAATCTGCTGCTGAGGATGAAACTCCTATTTTTGTGCCTTCTTTCCCATTGCAGAGGTCTGTGCTCTGGTCTTTGATCAAACAGCCTGTCTGGCCTCCTGTCCCCACCTCCTCAGACTTATTCTGTGCCCTCTGCAATGCATTCACTCCTCACTCCATTCAGCATTTTGCACAAAGCACCAAGGGCAGGAGTTGATGTCATCTCTGCAAACAAAGCAGGAAAGAAAGAGCAGGGGAAGTCAGTAAGATAGAAGTGAAAAGCCTGGATTTTGGAGCCTTTGTAAACACATGGAGAGGTTTTATGGCTGGGGAGGTTATCTTTCAACAGGGATGTCAGGCAGCAGCTGCTGGGAGGAATTTGCCTCGGGACTCCTCGTGCCTTGAGCAGCTCACGCTGTGATTCCCTGTCCTTCCTCCAAGAGGAGGAGCAGTGTGTCCCAGCAGAGCCTGACTTTGGCCAGGGGGGCCGAAGGGATCAGCTCAGGTTTGTTCAGCCAGCAGGAGACCAAACCTGGAGCAGAGCAGAGCTGTCCTGTGCCCATCCCCAGCCGTGGGCAGGGGCCACGTCCTGCTGTGGCTCCTGGCCGTGGCCCAGGCACATGGAGAGCAGGGAGATCTCATGGCAGATCTGCTCTGCCACCCCTCAGAGCTGAGCTTTGGCTTCCTCACTGACCTGGGGGACAGGTACTGAGGGACCAGTTGTAGCAGCACAATTCCTCATTTCTCCTTCTTTCCACATTTCCTTCCCCTGTCTTTTCTTCCTTTAATCAAGTCTAATGGGCCCTGACTGCTGGGCTAATGATGCATGGATGTTCTCTTTATTATTTTTAGGAAGCTCTTAAAATGGCACTGAGCACACAAAAGCAACGTAAAATAACTTTGTGGAGCCTGTCCCCTTCACTGCTTTCCAAACAAAACTTTGCTCCTTTGTTTATTTTGAAGGCAAACGACGAGTCCACACCAGAACACGGCTCTGATGGAGGGGAAGAGGAAGCTGCTTTTCCCTGGATCCAGCACTCCCATTCCTTAGATTTCACTCCAGACAGGAGCTGCTGCCGGTGGTGACTTTGTGATGCCGGCTCTTCCACGGGCACTGGCAACACGGTGACACCTGGGACAGCAGCTGCCTGTCCTCTGTGAACCCCAGCACAGCCTGGGGCTGGGGCTGGCACGTGGCTCCCACGGGGAAGGTGCTCCTGGTGTTTCCTTCTTCTGGCTGGAGTGAGCTTGCTGGGGCATCAGGAGCCAGCTGGTGAAGTTGTTCTCCCCTTCTTTCTCTCTGCTCAGGCCAAAGAAACGCTCCAAGGAGTTTGCTGTGATTTTTTCACTCCTTTTGGCTGTGCACGGGCTCCTGTGAGGGGTCAGGGGAGATCTGTGTTTGCTGCAGCTCCTTGGGGGAGCACACCCCCAGCCCAGCTGGCTGCCTGTGGGTACCCAAATTGGATAAAAGCTTTTAAATTACTTTATCTTGTAAGGCTCTGCAGATTGCCCTCCCACGTGCACACCTTACATGAGTAAGGGCCTTTCTTTTGCCTTTTTCCTGGAAGTCTTGAGCATCTGGTTGACTGTGGTGGTGTCATCATGAGTCAGGCTGTTGAAAACTCTGTGCTCTGGTCCTGCTTATCCTCCAGGACGGAGCATTTCCCTCCTAACGCCTGACAGATGAGAAAAATCAAATTACCTCACATCTCTAGAGCAATTAGATCTTTGAAGACCTGAACAAAATCCACACTGGGCTGGTAGGAGACTGTGGATTTTATTAAATGCTCTGAAGCTGACCTGTCTATTATGAAGAAACAAAGGATTCCAAAAAGTTCCCTCTGAAATCATGGCGTTGAAGGCAATTTGTGCCCATTAATGTCAGCCTTTCCCCTCAGTTATTACTCCTTTGTTCTGTTTTCCTTTGCACTGGGCACTTTGTGTGCATGTAGTGTGTGTTCTTACAAATGGCTGCAGTATGAAGATAAATGAGATTGGGTGCTGGAACACTCTGGCAGAAGATCGGAAATCAATCCCTGACTTGCTTTTTAAATGAACATGGCCCACCAGAGGACCATTCCCTTACTGCTTTCCCAGTTAATGTGCTGTGGCAGGTTACTGGTGAAATGCTTCCAATGCTTCCTCTGTGATCTGTTCCTGCCCTTTTACAAATGAAAACAAAACCTTTGGGCCCTGTGGGCTCCCTGAGGTGGCAGAAAAAGAAATCACAGGACACGGGGCCCGCACCGTGTTGGTTGTTCTCTGCTGAGGGATGTTTTATGTGATTTTTATTTTATGTGTTGTTAACCTGGCCATTAAGCTGCATCTCTGGAATGGGCAAGGCCAAAACTATCAGCTGCATCTGAAAAAGAAACTCCAGCTGTCAGCTTTTGCTGAAATACTGGTGTGGTTTCAGAGCTGCTGCTTCTGAGAGCTGTAGGGTCTTCAGTTTCCAGAGTGTTTAGGCACCAAAAAGAGTTCTGCTTTGCCTTGAAGCTTTTGACAGTCCAAGCGAGGTTTGTCGTGCTCGTTACTGCAGCACCTCAGACAGCCTGGCCTGCCAGCCAAAGTTAATTCTACAGCAGAAGGAGAAGGAAAAAGACTTTTAGGAACTGACTCTGTTTTCTTTAAACCTGTTACTTTCTCATCACCAGCTCGACACTGTGTTGGAAAGAGCTTTGAAAATGGGGGTTGTCATTTGTAACTCTCCCTGAGTCCCTTGTGCTGCTCTCCTGGGCAGTGCAGGCAGGTCAGTCGTGTCCTGTCCCACTCTGTGGGGTGCACAGGAGCCTGGGAATCCTTGCTGTGCCACTGAGAGGCTCCAGCTTCATTTTTAACTGAGGCCAGCTTTAATAAAACACTCTCAGAGATAAATCTGACACTGCTCAATGAGAATAGAAACTTTTCTTTCTTACCTCTATATTTTAACTCCATGGGCTGATTCCACCTGAGTTCGAACCAGAATTGTTCCATCAGCTGTGGAAAGACTCAGATTGAGGGAAGGATCTCCTGGACAATGTGATACAGGCACAACTGAATAAGGAATATCTGCAGCTCTGTGCACTGTTTTATTTTGAAGACCATTTTCCCCTTTGTGGCGATTCTCTTGGTTTTGCTCTTTGGTTGTTGGAATGTTGTAAAACCTATACCTGTCTTTTGAGCTGGCTCAGAAGGGCTCAGTGAATGTGCTCAGTCTGCTCTGGTCATTTGTGTTTATTATTTTCTTGTTCTCATCTCCACCCCTCACAACTTTTATGTGGTGTTTTACTACTGGAAACAATAAAGCTTTTGCTCAGTAACAACTTCTGGACATGAGTAAAAAGGTTTTTTTGTAGATACTCTCCAAATCCTCCAGCAAGGCAAGACAATAAGGCAGCCAGTGGAATTGTGATTCACGTGGCTGGAGTTTAATTGAATCCTGCACTTGAAAGTCACCTTTTGTCTTGTCCCCTCCTCTGTGCCTCGTGCTGGCAGGGGCACAGCCTCAGCCCCTCCGTGAAGGTTTTCCACACTGCAACCACGACTCACAAAGCAGCACCAATTGTCCTTTTGTCGAGTGCAGTCCCCACAGCCTCCCGAGGCTCTCTGACAATCAGGGTCCATTAAACTTGGCCCACAGAGGAGTGTCTCTGTGTCTCCTCATTGTTTGCAGAGCTCTCCCAGCCCTGGCTGCTCCTGTTCCCTCAGCACTCAGCCTCAAGGTTTCAAATAGCTTTTTAATCTGTTCTTGCTTTTCCCCACGTTCTAAAAGTGCCTCGGTAATTGCTGTTGGGATTGTTCTGCTGGGGAGCTGCCATCGTTCCAAGGATGGAGTGTGTCAAGGACTGAGCAGCTCTCCTGTTGTTGCTTCCTCTCTCTGCTTGCCATGACAACAGCCAGCAGCTGGGAGAGTCGGCTGTGGGATCTCTGGGAGTCAGGAACGCTGTCTGTGCATTGCTGAGCTCCCCTGCTTGGTTTTCACAGTTGTGTTTTGGAGGGGAGGGCAGCGAGAGCAGAGCCAAAGCAAATGGGCTGGTGTTTGGGCAACATGGTTCTGAGTCTGGGCAGCCAGCAGGAGTGCTTGGACAGTGACACAGACCAGCAAATAACCCCTGGAGCTCATTGTTGAAATTAAACTTGGCAGCAGTTCCTCCCTGAAGTTGTTTCCTCCAGGGGGAGAGGGCTGGTGGCAGTGGTGTCTCACCAGCTCAACCTCTCCCTTTGCTTCCTCCCTTCTCTCTGTTCCTCTCCACCTCAGAGACTGCTCTCCCACCTCCTCCTGCAGGTGGGTGGGATGGACACAGAGTTCAGGGAAGTTTTTTGGGTGGGCTGATGCTGCACTCACCTAATGAGACTTTCAGCAGGTGATGGGGCAGCACTCTGTGGGAATCCTTCATCCTGAGCTGCTCCTTCAGAGTCCCCCCTGAGCCTTTCCTCTGTTAGCAGCACGTCCAGGTGGTGCTGGAATGGCACAAGATGAGGATCTTGCCTTTACTCCATGGCAGGGCAGACAGGAACACCATGCCACCTGTCACCTCTCCCATTTATTATCAGTTTATCAATTTATTAGATATAATTTATTATCATTTATTATTTATGGCTTGCTGCTGATCAGAGCCTTATCAGGAGAGGGGTGCTGACAGAGACACCTTCCCCCCTGAGTGTGACTGAATTCTGATTTCAGAGCTGACAAATCACCACAGGGCTGTGGCTGCTTTTAGTTATTTGCAATTATACAAATCTCTTTTCTAGTTGTGCTGTCCCATTCCATGGGAGCAGCCCCTGGGGTGTGGGAGCTGCCCTGGTCTCGGGTTTTGGGACTGGATTTGGGATGTGTGTGGAAAGATCACACCTCTGAGACTGGTCCTAACAACCCTGCACTGCTGCTGGGTGTTTCAGAGACTCACCCTAAAAAGAATCCCCAGACTGATCCATTCTCAGCCCCTGGGACAGCAGCTGGATCACCCAGAGCAGCTGAGCCCAGCATTCTTTATTTCTAAACTGGTGAAGCTGAGCCCAAGGAACCAAGAAAACCTCAGTGAACAGCTGAGCCCCACGGTGGGAGAGCAGGGGCAGGAGGAGCAGCCATGGGACAGACCTTCATCTTCAAATGGCACTCGTGCAAAATTAAACCCCTCCAAGCAATCACACCGTGGCCATTCAAATGGTGCCTTGGAGGAGAGAAAAATAAACTGAGAAATGCAAATTAGGGATGTAAATCTTCCAGGCTGTGTCTGGGAGGTACCTGTTTAATTAGCATCATTGAGCAGCCTTGATGTGGTAAGTGCTAAGGAGGAAACTTGCCAAATTTCCCCAGTTTTGATAGCAGGTGACTTGTGTTTGAATTTCCACTTTGTGATTGTTTTTCTGTACTTGCCAGAGCTTCTGTGCTGCCTGTACCGTGAGGAATTTGCCCTTGTGTCCTGGGTATCTTGGCATCGAATTTATTCATGTGATAAATACAAATATCCCCGTGAGGGAGCAGGTTAGGGAGTTCCTGAGCCTTTGTTTCTCCCTCACCACTGCCTGTCCCAGCTCTCTGCTGCTAACTGGTACCACACAAATCTTTTCAACACCAATAATGTTTGTGAGTCGTTGGATGCTTGGCCTGGGAATTGCAGGTGAGACTTCCCTGAGGTGCTGCTGGATCCTCCAGGCACTGCCTTGCCAGGTTTGCATCCCTCTGGCAGGCTGGTGCTGCTTCTCAGGTCGCTGTTCCTGACCTGTCACCGTGGGAGACACTGGGATTAGGATGATGGAGTGCTTGGAGAGGATAAACAATAATGATGCTACACCCAAACAAAGCCTTTCGCTCCCCTCCTTTCTTTTTCTGTCAGTTCCCCATTCAAGCTTAATAAGATCAGTACAGATAATTTCTGTATTCGTGCAAAACATCATTTTCCCTCCTGTGCTTTGCCAGCTGCACTGCGGTTGGGAAGGCAAATCCACACTTTCTCCTGCATGGTTCTGAATGGGTGCATCTGTTCCTTGAAGATAGGGAAAGGAGGGTGAAAGGGCTGGAAAGGGAGAGAAGAAATCAGATGGAGCCTGGTACATTCCCTCTGTGGAGAGGGAAGCATGCAGGAGTCAGATTTTTGCAGCACAGGCTCAGTCCTGATGTATTTTGGAGGTGGGTGAGTGTGTGGCAGAGGCAGAAAAGGGGTTTTGCTCTATGGGGCAGGGATGCCCCATCGTGATCAAGGTCTGTGCCTGGGGCTGGTCCTGTTCCTCCCTGGCTGGAAGTCACACCTGCCTTGCTCCCGACCTGTGCAGAACTCATTCCCTGGGCTTTCTTCCCTCCCTCCCTCCTCTTTCCCCCGCTGGAGAGGAAGGGGTTGGATTTTCTGTTATCTGGTGTGTCCAGCTGCGAGCCACGCCGGCAGCCTGGGGCTGATCAAACCCTCCCGTGGCCTCCACCCAGCATCCCATGGACATCTCCAGTGCTCTGCACAAGCCCAGATCCCGGCAGTGATGCTCCAGCACCTCCCCTCCTCCTGCTGCCACCGTTTTGGGCTCTCCCTTCATTGCCTGAGACACGGAGCCATCGCCAGGCACCTGCAGTTGGCTTTGGCACCTAATGGCACAATCAGCTGAAACGTGTTCTTCCTCCAGAACAGGAGTTTTTCAGCCAGAGATCCTGGTGATGTCCCTCTTTTCGAGGTGAGAGCCCCCCCGAGCCCTCTGCTGGGTTTGTTCTTGTTTCTCAGCTGGGCTGTGGGTCCAGAAGTTTTCAGATATGGGAAAAGCTTTGGCGTGAAATATTGAAATATGATGCACTCTGCTTAAAACAAGGGTAAGAGATTCCCAGAGGGCCTTGACATGGCTTTTACAAGTGAAAACGTGCCCATTTAACAGTGGCTGAAGCAGAGATGTGCTAAATGCCAGGCTTTGAAGCTGTGCAGGGAGTGGAGAAGGTGCTGGATGGGGGTCAGGTGCTTTCCTCACCTTCCTCAGAACAGAGCTGGGCTCCCAATCCAATCCCCCAGGCTTGGATTCACCCAAGTGAGTGGTTTCTTAAAGCTCCTTTCTTTTCTCTCCAGTTCCTTCAGGAGGGAAAGCAAGTGGGTGTGGGTTGGTTTGGGTGAGCAGACCCTGAAAACACCATTTGAGCTTTTAGTGATGTGGCAGCATCACTGTGTGCACCAGAAAAGGGGAGAGAAGGCTGCTCCAGCTCTCAGCACCCCAGGAAAAACTTCCAGTGAGCTCCCTGCACAATTTGCTGCTCTCCTTGCTGCTGATGGGTTCAGGTAAGTTTAATCCCAAGGGCACTTTGGGGTTTTTAGCTCTTTGCATCTTGCAGGCCAGCACTCAGAGATAAATCCCTTTAATTTGCAGAGCTTTCAGTGGCAGTGAGGCTTGTGGAACATGGTTTGGACACCCCTGGGCTGCTCCTGCTGTCTGTTTTCATGGCAGCCTTTGCAAGGAGCCAGCAGCAATTTTTGGGGGCTGGAGATAACCTGGGAGCGAGTGTGCAGCTCCTGGTCCCTCCCAAATCATAATTCCCAGGGTTGGGAAGGGATTTGGTGAGGAAAACACTCAGGGACAAGCAGCCAGGCAGCTGCCACCTCTCACCCTGTGATTTTGAGGGTGGGCTGCAGGACTTTGTGCTCAGATATTACTGCACTCCTTGAATGCTGGAGCAGGTTCTGCTCTGGAGCCCAGCAGGGGAAACTGCTGATTCTTACAGCCCTATAAACCTGATGTTACCACCAAATTGTTGTAACGCTGCTTTAAGGGATTTTTTGCCTTTCCGTGGTTGCAGAGTCTGTATTTCTACGCTAAGAAATCAAGAATCAAATAATTGGATCTCCCTCCCCCTTCCTATAAAATCAAGCAATTGAATCAAAGAGTTGGTGGCTTGAAAAGACAGAGAAAGGAGTTCATTTTGGGCTGCCTTTATTGGCCTCTTAAATTCTGAGCTTTTCAGCCTGCTGGGAGTGTTCTATCGATCCCTTTTCACAGCTGTGAGTAGGATGGGCTCAAGTGCCCCTTTTCCTGGGACCTGGGAGGCAGCAAGAGTTTGTGGGAACTGGGAAAGGGATTGCTATAAATGCATATCATATTATTGGCTTTTTGCAAATATTATAATGAATGTTATGTGTAAGGTTAGAAAATATTGTTGTATTAATGAAGTTTCTTTTATTTCTGTTATTTGTGATATTTAGAAATAGGGGTATAATACACATATATGATGGGCTATAACATGATATTAAGGCACAAACTAGTTTTTGTTTATATAATCCAAGGACTGAAAAGATGGTCAGAGACCCCCCCTGCATCCCAAGATTATTTATCCAGATGAAGACAAGCAGTCCTCCAAGCC